ATACGATTAAGATAAAAGAAAATTAATCAAATCAATCATCAATTAAAAGACAACAAATTGGTGTATGGACGCATATCCATTTTTTTTTTATCCAACTTAAATAGCCGTTTGGATTTTATTACATTTTTAATGTGATACAATTAAATTTAAATATTAATTTTAATGAAATTAAATCAATATAAATTTTTTATTATTTTTTAATTATAATTATAATATTTTTTAATAATAATTATAATAAATTTTATTATTGATTTCAATCTCATCACAATTAATTTTATCATCCGTGCAAATCAAACCTAAAACAAAAACTTGTTTGCATATACAAAACCAAAATTGTTTAAGGTTACAGTTATAGTGCTCTAGACGTGGAAGATCCATGTGCCTGTTCTAGACACGTAGATGTTAAGCCATCTTAGCCTTGGCTTTAGCAAATTACTGTTTCAAAACAATGGGTACCATTTCTAGATAATACAGAAAATTCCAAAGTCTGTGGGCTACCTAAAGCTACCTCCCCACATATCTGCATCCAATATCTAAAAAAAATCCATCCACTTGCATCCTTTTGCAGTCAAGGCTTGGACCCAATGGGCTATAAAATTAGCGATCAATACAACATTCAACCTAGACAGGATTATTTTAAATATGGCATAATAATATAATATAACAAATAATATAATTTAAAATTAAAAAAAATCCTATATGAAAAAGAGAAAATAATAAATTTAATTAATATATATATAAATACATAAATTAGTTAAAACAAAATGTGTTTTTTTTTTTTCTGGAATGGACATCATTATCTGGTAGCAGAAAGAAACCCTTACTGATTTTGTCTTTCATTGTCCTATAAATATCTGCATAAGCTGACAAGCTGTAGATCATATTTCAATTTCATTTTCATTTCATTCCCACACGAAGATATAGCAGTGCCTATCCAAAACAAAAGAACTGGTTGCATCAATTGCAATCCCTTTCATGCTTTCACACCATTGGTCTTATTATTGTGGTTTGGGAGTTAAAAGGTTCAAAATTGGACACCTTATTCTTTAAAGATTTATGTCTTAATTTTAATGCTCCCTCCTCATACTTATAAATAATTTATGAGTTTGAATTTTTATAGTAAAACTTCTTAAACAACCAACAAGTTGATGGTTTAATTAGTTAAGACTTGTCCTCTTTGATGAAGAGATCTTAGGTTCAAATTTTATCGATGATTATTTGTTGAGGTTATCTCGAATATACGACTTGCAACCACTTGTTTTAGGTTATCAGTTATAACACATTTTGTTATAACCTGTAGAACTTAGCAACCTATTTACCCCTAAATTTTTCCTAAAAAAAAAGTTAAATAAAATCAGAGAGAGTATGACCAAGACATTACCAATTTCATAAGGTTGTATCTAACATATTATAACCTAAACCATGCACAAGTGAGATACCTAAGATATAATGGAATTAAATATATGTTTGGTGTATAAAATTATAATAAGATGATATTATAAATAAAATTAGATTAAATAATATCATTTTATTTTATGTTTAATGAAGTAAGAATTAAAATAAATAATTTATTTATTGATCAAATTATTTTTTCTCAAAATTTATGAAATCAAAATTATTAATATATTTTTTAAGAATATAATAAAATATGTAAATTCAATCTTATGAATTAAAAATAATTTTCTTCACTTTGAAATAATTAAATCATCCTATACAAAAATAATGATTAATCATTCTTATAATCAAATTCCATTTTAGATATAAATAATATAATATAAAATAATTATCATCTTATCTTATTTATTATTTTATATATCAAATATGTTTTTAAAATTTCTCAATAAGAGCAACTCTTAAAAATGACAAATACAACGTGAATTTTGATAAATAATAAATATTTAATAAATTTAAAATTTAAATCTTAATATTTATAATTTTTCATTCTTAAATTACAATTTTTTTATAAAAAATATCTTAACTCTTTTTTTTTTTTTTGGAAAGAACAACAATTATAGTAGCATAGGGCCAAGATACTGAAAATCTCAATCCTAATTGTAAACACTATTTTTAATTATTATTATTATTATTATTATTTAATTTTTTTCTTATTTTTTCTTTCTTCTTTCTTTTTCCTTCTTCTTCTTTCTTATCCGATTCAAGTTGACTAAGCATGAGTGCATTAAATGCACTCTCCTTAAAATCCAAAACTACCACCGACAGTCGTCGACACTAGCCAACACGTGAATATCAACTTATTGCGTCAGTTGAAAAAATGAGACTCGAATCTATGAAGATTTGAGATTTGAATCCTAGTAAGCTCTATAAAATCTGTGAAAAAAAAAGAAAAAAATTGAGAAAAAATAACAAAAAAATAGAGCTTTCTGTCGAAAAAAATTACTGTAAAAACAAAAAAAAGTAGAAACAGTCCCCTAGAACGGGGAATCTAGCACCAAAATACACCTACACACAAAAAAGGCAAACCAGAAAAACACAAAAAAAAATTATTTTTTTTGACTGAAACTTTGAAGGTCGATCTGGGTTGTTTGAGATACTTTCGGATGAAACCAAGCTCAGATCTGTGTTTAAGAGGACGAGAAGGATTTTTTGAGATTTTTCAACCACCGGCGACGACGGTCGGTGACCAGTGAACAGCGGTGATGCGACGGCAACGATGGCCGGCCGATCCCTTGGTTTTTTTTTTTTTTTGTCTGAGAGAAAAAGAGAAGTTTTTTTTTATGGGGAGAAGAAGAAATGACCAAAAAAATTTTTTAGTTTTATATAAGCAGCTAAAACTCAAAACGACATCGTTTCACTAATACCCAAAATGACGTCATTTTAGTATCTGAAGATCCACGCGTCGACCCATGACCCGACCTTAAGGTCCGTGTAACCGACCCGATTACTCGACTCATCCTTAGACCCAGACCGATTTAGGTGAACCGGATCAGACCGCCTCTAAATCGCTGACACCAGAACCGAACCGTCCTTGAACCGCTCGATCGAATTAAGCCGTCAATCCGACTAGACCCGCATTGATCGGACCGTTGATCGGTCCGGTTCAGGTAAAGATTTTTTTTTTAAATTAAATTTTTTTATATATTATTTTTATAATATTTATGCATACTAAAATATTTAAATTTGTTAGAATAATTTTTATGTAGTTAAAATTTCTATAATTTTGTTAATTTTAAAATAAAATTTAAAATATAATAAAATGAAAAATAATGAAATTTTATAATAAAATATTGAAAAAAAAAAGAAAAGGAAATTTTATCCGATGAGATTTAAATGTATTTCGAGTAGTGATGCCTATGAAATCTCTAGGTGAGAAGAAATTTTTTTTAAATACTACCAGTGTATTGAAATATTTATAAAAATTTTTCAATACAATAAAAATTTTCTTTTTGTTAACAATAAATAAAAATTAATTAATATATTAAAAAATAATAATATAAATAAGAAAAAAAAATTTATCCAATGATGAGATTCCAAAAGTATTCAGAGTAGAGATGCTTTAAAAAATTTTTAAGTGAAAAGATTTTTAAATATTATCAGTGTATTGAAATATTTATAGAAAAACTTCAATATCATAAAAAATTTTTTCTTCAAAATTAAAAATAAAAAAATTAATAAAACAATTAATAAAATTTTTGAAAAAGAGAATAAAATGTGTGCATCAACATATTGTTATTTGCATTACATACATGACATAATTTTTTTACAAAAAGTAAACTCGGACCTCCAAAGATGAGATTCTAAGATATTCCAAGAAGTGATGCCTAAGAAATCTCTAGGTGAGAAAGAGTTTTTCTAATGTTACTAACGTACTGGAACATTTTAGGAATTATTTCAATAAAATATTCTAATTTATTTTTCTCAAATAATATTTGAATATAAAAACAACAAATCAAAAATAAAAAAATCAAAAAAATTATTTTTCAAATACCGAAAATAAGATTATTTTTATCAAAATAGAAAGATAGCATGTAGTTAATTGGTACCATTTAAATGGGCGCTGTAGGGGTCTTAATCTTTCTCTACACGTAATCGACTCTTGAACCCAGACTGTTACGTAGATCCTAAAATTATTTTTTTAATAAATTTTAATTAATTTTAAGATTTTATTAAAAAAATATGTTTTAATAGGTGATCAATCACACATAATAAAAAAAATTGATGATAATTTTATTATTTTATTTTTAAATTCACCGTACAAACACAAAATTGCTACGACACTAATAAAAAGGATATTGGAGCAGATGTGATTATGCAAATCACATGTGAGATAAAAAGAAAAAAATTTTGAACAAACAACCCTTTATATCCCTTAAAAAGTGGATAAAATATGCCCTGGAAAAGGGTTAACAAACTTAACCTGTGAGTAGTGTTAGGACACATTTTTTTTATTCGAAAGGCCGCATCTCAACTCTTTCACGCTTCGCGAGGGAAATGGTCAAACACTCAATGCGGATATTAATATTATATATCGATCCAAAAAAAATAAAATAAACTTGCCGTTTAAATTGGCTGTGGTGTTTTCTCCTACACCTTGGAGAAAATTTTTTTTTATATAACTTCAATCTTAAAATATAAAAAAAATTGATATGAAATTTAATTTTTTTGTATTTAAAATTATAAAAAATTTAATTATTAAAATTAAAATTTAAATATTTTATCAATAATTGTCACATGATAAATAAAAAAAAATTGTTTGATTGAAATTATATTATTTGTTATAAAATTTTATTGATAAAATTTTTTTAAAAAATTAGGAATAAATTATAAAAAATCCTTACAATTTTGCTGATAAAGTAACAATCCACAAACTAAAATTTTAGTTCAAACTTCAAAAAAGGAGAGAAATAAATATAAAAATAGGACAGTTTATTTCTCAATAGTTCTAATTAAAAAAAAAATCAAGAAAGAAAGTTCTTTGATTTTTTTATTTAAGGTTTTTTAGTTACTAGTGCTTTGTTTCTTTTTCTCGTGAATTGGACGGACATTATCCAAAGTTCCAGTGTCCTCGAAATTAGTTGATTTACACATCAGAAATTTGGTGTCAGTTCTCCAAAATATTTTCTCTATATATTTCTAAAAAAAAGATAAATTTATATCCAAATCATTCCGAGCCCACCTAACTGTCTTTTTTTTAATTCCCAAGAATTACAATTTTTTTGTTCTTCTTTTCCTTTTGAACTTTGAAGCTTTGGAAACAACAAACAAAAACCTGTTCTTTGTTTTTCTGTCTTCAACCACCATTTTCAGTAAAAAAGTACAAATTTTTGTTGTTCAAAATCTTCACTTATTTTCAGAAGTGGATCTTTTTTTTAGGTTGTCAAAGGATTTCATGGCATGTTCATTGAAGTTTGGTTCATATTTTTCTGGGTTCAAAGAGACTATGTTGGGCTCAAATTCTAATAGGGGTTCCTGGTTTTGCGCATCATTGAGTTCTTTAGACTCTAAGGATTCAACATCAAAAAAGTTTCCTCTTTTTAGCATTGATTTTTTGGGCAAACCATTACTTGTCCCAGATCAGAAAGGTTCAATAAATTGGAGCAGCAACCACCCTGGAAACAGATTCTCTGTTCAAGTATGTGCAAAATTTTGGTTTTCATTTTGGATTTTAATGGGCTTTTTTTTTTTCTTTGCTATTTTAGTTATATATTTTGGGCTATAAACTGATGTTAAATCAATTGGTTTTCCAGGCAGAAACAACCTGTGTGAGCAGAGGTATGAGATGGTGGGAGAAGAATCTTAGACCCAACATGGTGAAGATCCACTCGGCAGAAGAACTTGTGGATTCCTTGCAAAATGCTGGTGATAGATTGGTTATTATTGATTTCTATTCACTTGGTTGTGGAGGCTGTAAAGCTCTCCATCCTAAGGTATTTTTGGCCATCAGAACAACTTTTTAGTTTCATTTTAGGATAGTTTATCATAAATCTTACCAACCTAAATGAAGCAGTAGTGATGATATATGGATTGCTGCCCTTAAATTTGAATGAATTTTTTTTTCATTTGAAATGAATTGGAATTTATCTATTACTTTGAGGTACTTGTATTTGAGTATGGCAAGAAAGACAAATACTAGTTGCTAAATTTTTTAGGAAAAGTAAAATCTAGTCTTCAATAAAATGGTGAAGAATATCAAAATCGATTTCAATTCCTTGATTTAAGATTTGTTGACAGTGGCTTATGTTTATAACAGATCTGTCAGCTGGCTGAACAGAATCCGAATGCGATTTTCCTAGAAGTTAACTGTGAAGAGCTAAACAACATGTGCCAGTGTCTCAATATTCGTGTCTTACCGTTCTTTAGGTTCTATAGAGGTGCTGAGGGGCGTCTATGCAGCTTTAGCTGCACCAATTCTACTGTAAGTTTTTCATTGATTGGATAATATTCCTTAATTTCTTCATGGTAAGTGTTAGTAGCTCTTGTTCACTACAGATTGTAAATGTAAAGTTTTATTATTGCAGATCAAAAAATTCAAAGATGCATTGGCAAAGCATGGAGCAGATCGATGTAGCCTTGGCCCTGCTAAAGGTTTGGATGAGTCTGAGCTGATGAAATTAGTATCAGCTGGTGAACTATCAACCAATTTACAGTCACCTTCCACAAAAGAAGAAAAAATGGAGGATTTGCTAACGAGAAGAATGGAACTGTCTGGTATCTTGAACAAAGCAGATAGTAATAAGATGGAGCTTGAAACAGAGCCTGCTTTGCAATAGGTTGTGATTTGTTATTAAGCTCATAGGAGAGTAGTTTTGAAAATGGAGTAAAGTGGCTTCAGCCTCATATCTTGATGTTGGAACTTCTCTATTTTGTACTTGTATATATCATTAGCGAGGTTTTTCATAAGCAGGCTCCTGGGTTTTTTGAGTTGAGCCCTGCCAAGTTTATTTATTTCTTAACGTCTTATCAAGGAATTGATTCGGTGTTCGCTAGTATTAATCTATAGAATTGTTATATAATAAAGGATTGGTTCCATTTTGAAACCATTCAAGTTGAAATTTATTCTACGTTACTAAATACTTTTCTTGCAAATCCAATGCTGAATTCATATGCAAATCCGCCAGTATTAGCTCAATTGGTAATATGAATCTTAAATTATAAGTTTCTAATTCCAGGTATTATTTCATGGCAATGAAGCTTTTGGCAATATGAGTTATGACTGAAGATCAAATACAAAGTGATGGAAATGAAGTGAAGCACTGGAAGAAACAGTTTTTTTTTTTTTTTTTCAAATATGTTTATATAAAAAAATATTAGTGAATTGAATGAGAACCTGTGGCAGCCTATAAGAAACAAACCGAAGAAAACAGGATTTGCAATTTGACTATCATTGGTCGGTGGATTCAAAGTCTAAATAAACAGGTAGACTATTATATCATAAGTAGAAAAAGACGATTTTGTTTTGGAAATTTCCTGTCAGAACATGCAGCAAACATAAAACGCTAACAAATTCAAAAGTTTCTTGCAATGGTCATTGCAGTTTTAAACGCCATCTTTGAATTTTATCTCAATTAAATAAACTAATCAAGATATACAAAATATATCAAAATGTATCTAAGAAGTACTTGACCAACTCTCCTTGCTGCACTTGATACCTGGTCATGATGATCAAATGATTCGGTTGCCGATGGACAGTTTTCAATAAGTTAAAAGTTTGGAAGATGGATGTGCTTCTTCAGGTTGAACACCTTTTTTGGTTAGTGGCTCATAATAGATCGTTGACAAAGTAAGTTTGCTATAAAAAGAAATTTTTTTACAAGGTCGAACCTTAGGGAGATTGGAAAAAAGGGAATTGCAAATGCTAAAAATCGAATTATAATTTTATTAGAATTCATTTCTTAAAAAAGTTATAAATTATTGGAGTTAAATTTTAAGTTTTTAAAAGTTAAGGCTTGCATTGTTTAGACTGATATAATTATTTTTTTAATAAAAAATAAATTTCAGAAGACATTCAATACTAAAAGTTGAACATTTTATTTTGAATATTTTAAATTTCAATTTTGAAACGAAAGAAGTGAAATTTAATTGTTAGATAAAAAGTATCACTTTATGATCAACTCTTTTGTCTAATGGTGAAAAAAACTCTTAAAAAGACACAATAATTTTGATTTCAAACCATAACTATTTCCCCTTCTTCATAAGTTATGCTCTTCCATATATATATATATATATATATATATATATATTATATAAAATCATTTCTCATTAATAACCAAAAAATACCAAAAGCGACATTGAATGGTACAAAAAATTAAATAAAAAGTATATAGACTTTTGAGTTATCAAAAAGAAGTTTATGGTTTATATAACTTTTAAATTCATTTAAATTTTGAATAAAATCTTAAACAAATATTTACAATTTAAATTCTGGCTCAAATTGATATATATATGTGAATTATATAAAAATTAAAAATAAAAATTATAATTACACTTAAATTTTATTTTTAATTTATATATATATATATAAATTAAATATAATCTCATTAAACTTAATTTAATTATTTTTTTTTTAATTTTTTATTAAATAAATTAAATTAAATGAATAAATTTTAATTTGAATCATATCTAAAAAAATTTTAAATCAAATTAAATTTAAATAAAAGTATAAGTGATTAATATTAAATATAAGCTTGAATTCAATCCAATCATATTAAAAATTTATTTTTTCTGAAAAAAAAAAAAAGGAGAAACAAGGTTGAGTTTAGCTACTGACGTCGATTACTCAGATTCCTCACCAGAGATGGACCCACTGCAAATATGACAACGTAGATTTTAAGAAAACCAAAATATTTCAGTTTTTAAAATTTTGAATCCGTACTAATTTAATTCATTCAAATTATAATAAAAACTTAATCCAAATCAAGCCCAAATAATTTGATTAATTTGATTTGATATGACCTTCTATCTAACTCTAAAACATGAGAAAAAATTCAAACCTTAGAAAGCGTATTGCAGACAAATCTCATATTCTATTCTTTGATGTGAATGTAAAATTTCAAATATCTAAAAAAAAAAAAAAACAAAATAGATACAAATTCAAGTAAAAATTATTCTCAAATTAAATCCAAAACAAAAATAGACTGAGAAAAAAAAAAAAAAACAGAGTAAAACACTGGACCTTGAACTTTCGGAACTTTAACATAGGATATGTTCATTGAAAAAAACCAAGAGCATAATAGACGTTTGGATTAGGGTGTATTGTTTTTTTTTTTATCTAGATTCCTTTTGTGTCTAATAGGGTATTCGATTAATCCGAAATTAAATCAAATTAAATCTCTTAAGATGAACAAGTACTCTTCAAATTTTTTTTATTCACAAATTTAAAATCAAAATCTTAATTAAAAAAAATTAAATTCATTATCACTCTAATCAAATTAACAAGCGTTGATAATTAAGCTGCATTATCATGCGACGGGAGCTGCTCTCTACAACAATACTAAATAATAAAAAAATTTTAACTTTTCAATAAAATACGTGATTTTCTAATTCAAACCAAAAACTCTTCAAAAAATATTTTTACAATAAAAAATACATTTAAGATAAAAAAAAAATTCTTCTTTTTATCCCTATATTTATAATATTTTATTACTTTATATATATTTAAATATTTAATTGCTCAATACTTTTTTACAATAATATCAAACACTTAAAATTTCTAATCACATCAAATACCAAATGACTTAAAATTTCAACAATTCCCAATACTTAAAATTTTTAATTACACTTTTTAAACATACATTTTACCAACCAAACTTTTTCCAATCACAACAAATCTAAACCATCGCTTACTCTCGCTATATCGCTCTTTCAAACACAAATTTTACCGTTCAAAACTTAATGTTCTGTAACAAAAACAACCTATCTAATGGAAAACCTGCCAATTGCTGGAAATTGCCATGCCAATTGCCAACCCCAGTCTGCATAAATATAGAAACTGCAGGGATGGTAGAAAACAGAACATTAAAATGTCAAGGACTCAGGAGAAAATTTGAAGCCTTCATATTCCATACATAACTGTTTATCACATAGGATTCTCTTGGAGCCCAATACATGCAATCAGGCTTCAACAAAAAACACCGTTGAATCTCCGTTCTTATATCAATCATTAGGCAATTTTCAACCCAAAAAAGCCTTCATCGGAATGACAAAAAATTTTAAAACACTGATAAAATGAAATGTCCTAAAATATTGAAACCAAATACAAAGATTCACACAAATATGCATTAGAATTTCAATCGAACATGAATTTATTGGTAGTACGAACATCTATACAATAGTTAGGACAGTAGAAATGATTCTTTCCAATGTTAATCAGAACCAAACCTCAGGGGTAGCTGAACATTGTCATGTCAATGTCTAATAAAAGAGACAATGAATTAGATCAAAAGCCACTATGCAATAAAAAGGTAACACATCAAATTTCAAATAATTTCTGGAAAATTCCACGGGTTTTGGATTTATAATATGTATCTCTATGAAGACAAATTCTTCGCATATCACAAATACATCACAGGATCTTAATAACTCTGTTAAGAAACACAATGAGCTAGAAATCACAGTAAAGCCTCAGATTTGCAGACGGACATCAAGGCTTAGAAAGCTATTCAGTCCCGAAAGATGGTAGTTTGTTATGGATATCGTCATAGGCCACTGATTCTTAAAGACTTAGATGAATTTGCAAAAATATATGTCTATGGACTGGCTCATGAAGCAATGGAAGCAACACTGTTCCAAAAGGCCAATGTAATATGCAATCATACATTGATGGAGGAACTCCACAGTAAGAGTACCTTCAACATCGATGAAAATTTGTTTATGCAACGTATAACTTGGAATTTACAAACATAAGATGTTTGCCCCGACAAAGAAAGGGATAGAACCCCTCATCACACAGGTGTGAGAGAAAATAACAAAACAAAACTCAACATTTAAACCACAAACTCAGCAATTCAGCACCGGAAAAAGAAACAATCAGGTACAAAATTTGTACATGTAAGACTCAAAATGAACAATATATGCAAATTCAAGAGACATTTTCTATGGTCTGTCTCAGAGGTAGTGACAATTATCAGATATCATCATTCTTTAATCTGATAATACGTGCATTAAGATGCATCATAGACAACCCAAAAACTTTCAAGTTATAAACAAGAAGGAAAATTATCATATCAAGTAAGAAACCTTTCATTAAAAAATTTAGTACAAAACTTATTAATACTTGTAAAAAGATAAAGTAATACTCCAAATAACACCAATTTATTTTGTGCATCAGAGAGATTCCCATTCATAGACAACTCATCATCCTCCAATGGGTACTGATGTCCCTGTCTATTTTATCGTCACTTGCACAAATTTATACTAGAATAAACCAGATTTCAAATGTGCAATCAAGCAAAGTAAAGCAAAATTCATATGCAAAGCAGACTAATTAAAAAGGGAAAAAAAGATCAAAGAATTGTATCAGAGAGATTCCCGTCTAAGACTAAGTCATCAATCACCCAAAGAAGGGAGTGCCGATGCCCCTGTCTATTTTTATCATCGGTTGCCTATGAAATAAACTATTTTGTATATTTAAGGAAAACCCATTTTATAATAGCTTGAACAACCTTGAAAAGCTCAAATTTACGCTAATTACACATGAAACATTCAAACAATAAGAAGATAAAATCAATATCTCAATGAAGTATCAAGCAAATAAGAAAAAAAAAACAGCCTTTTAAGCCTCAGATTTGATTGATTTCAAAGAGAACATCTCTCAAAGTATATTTAATACCATCATAGGCAAAACAAAAAGGCATAAACGAGACCCAAAAGAACAGAAAACAAAAAGTTATCAACTAACAAATCAGCTAAACTTCCGGGAAAGAGACAGAAAATTTTAGAGCTTTGTAGAAGAAGAAAGGGTTGGTTGAGTAGGCCAGAACTGAGCTTCTTGTCAACAATGTAGATTTAGGGTTTATCTGAGGAACGACTTTAGGGTTTTGTCGGTTATTTGTAATGAACAGTGATGGGAATGGTATGTTTTTGGGGGTCCTGGGCTGTATGCATAATGACAAGGCCGTATATTTTACACATTGGTTTCGGCCCATTCGGCTTGAAAAGATTTTAATTTTGATTTTTTCTCAATTATATAAAAAAAAATTTATTCAAAATTTAAACTAGGATTCAAATCACTCTTCTCCACAATATTTTCGCAGTATACAGTGTGTCACATATATACGAAAAAGTTTATGAAACCTTTTTAGGATTTCAATTATCAAAGTTTTTTTATTTAAATTTTATCGCACTTAGTAGTAAATTTTGACATTTAATTTTGAAAAAATCAAAATTATATATATATTTTATTTATTATATTACTCGAACTCGAAAGTGAATATTAAATATTAATATGAATGATAGATGCATTTATCTTTATGTTTAAAAATTGAATACGAATTTCTCTTATGAAAAACCTTACAGTCATTATGATATCCTTGAACGTAATAAATTGATTCTTAAACCATGAATATTTTGATGTTATTATTATTATTATTATTATTATTATTTTGAGTTTATGGTTATTTGTTATCCTAGTTTTGAGCAATCTTATATTTAAATTGATTAATTTGATCGTACGTTGCTATAATTATAGTTTACATTCAGATTTGAATTACAGTAACAATGAGAGGTTTTAGTTTAATAATAAAAAAGAGAACTTAAAATTTTAAAATTTTAAGTTTAAGTTTTATTAGGTGCAAATTTGATTTTAATTATATTATAATTTGTTAATTTATCTATTTAATTATTAAATAATTTTTTATACATAAATATAGTATTTAATTATTATTATAGTTTAAGCTTATAATTAAAAAAAAAAATCACAGCAACATTTAATCTCTTTCTAAATACAAGCAAACGAAAAAAAAAAAAAAAGCTTTCCCTAAAAGCATATTAAATGTGCGGATATTAAAATTGACACATGGTTGTTCATGGAAGGTTAACTTCTTTTTGTTCTACAGCAGTCATTGACAATTGAAAAAAAAAAATTTATGTAAATTTTCATCCAAACTTGTTGTATGTAGGAACGGCAATCCAATTCGTCTCTTACGGATTTTGACTCGACTCGATCTTATGAGATCGATTTTTTTTTGAAATTTAGGTTTCGAGTCGAGTAAAGTTAAGAAACAATCGGGATCGAGTCGAGTTTGGATTTTAGACAAATCCTACTCGACCTAATATTATATCAAAAATTATTTTTTAATTAATTATTTAATTTTTTATTTATATATATTTAAAAAATAATATTTTATATTTTAAAAAATAATATTTTATTAATTTCGAGTCAGATCGGATCAGATACGATTTATATAATATCGGGTCGGGTTCAAATATAAAAAAACAAAAAAAATTTTGGATAGAGTCAAGTTCGAATTTATTAACGCATAAAATCATGTTAAGTTCGGAGTGAACAAAACTCGTCTTGAATCCGACCCGATGTCAACCTTAATTGTACGTCCTTATTTTAAAATGAAATAACTTCTCTTTACCTAGTTTTTTTTTTTTTTTTTAATTCCTTTACACAAAAGAAACCATTTCACCACAAAATCCAAGTGAAGGTTTGAGCTATATGACATATCTACGATTAAGATCTTATTTTCTAAGATCCTGTCAAGTTAAATCTTTTCATTTTTTTGACATGATTAGTCTAAGATCTCATTAAAAGTATTAATCGAAGAAGTAACGTTTGTTCTTAACAAGGATTTTGCTTCCAAGCATTTCAAATCAAACTTTTCAGGTATTGAGTCGGCTTCTAGTAGTCACTTCACATGCTCATGAATCGTGATTAACCAGTTAAACATGAATGGGACGAAAGACTTTTTTGTTCATTATGTTTTATTACCTTTCATTCATCTCAATCAAACAAAATCGGTGCACTGATAATTTTTATTATAACTACGTTAAAAAGAAAAAAAAAATAGAGATTCAAACGCAAAAGAAGAAACATTAATTATTTTACACATCATCATTTATTAACAATAATCATGTAGAATTTACATATAGCAATTAGCATATGTAATGAATGTGATCCTCATTCCGAAACAATGAAAAGAAAAAAATGTGCCCCCACTTGTGAAAATTACATTAGAGAAGTGAAGGAGTTGATTTTTCATTTCCTCCTCTTTCCCTTGCAGAGAGAAATGTGAAGGAGTTAAGGGATACCGTTTTGAGGTCTGTTTGCATTGTTCTTGGTTATAAACAGACTAGTTTTCAGGTTTTTGTTTGCGTCTGATTTCTATAATCAATCCACTTGAAGTTGCTTTCATGAGCTAAATAGGCGATTGGCAAATGGCAGCTGCCTCTCCACCCCATTTATCCTTATTTTTCCATTTTTTTAAATTTTTGAAAATGAGATTCAAACTCAGCTTCTTGAACTTGTAATACATACTTGAACCAAATGCCAAGTGTTCCTCATTTCTTCATTTATATATAATGTTACTTTTGGTCATTGAGAAGATGAATTTGGCCATAGAGAGGAGCACTATCCGGCTTAAGGATTCAATCTTTCTGGTGTTCTGTTCAGCCAATATTCAAAGTTTATAACAATGCCAAGGGAAAAATTTACAGCGATGCTGTAATGTTCTATTGCTGCTTGTGATAGGTGATGCCTATGAAAAGATAATGAATTAAAGGTTGACTGATTTGGTAAGATTCAAAATTGTAAAAAATAGATTTGAATTTCATTATCAACATTATTCTTTGATGAACGATTTCTAATTCCAATATAAATTTTCTGAAATTTGCTATCTGTCTTGGTTTTAGAATGAAAAGTTTTTCTTAACCCTAAATTTTTTTTAAAAAAATTGAATTAATAAATGAATTGAAGAACAAATAAAAAACAATATTGAAGCCTAGAAGGAAGCTAATGGGTTCTGAATTTAGCAGAAAAAAAAAAGTAGATTAATTTATCATCAATTTTCCCACATGCCAAGCAGATTTGAAAGCTGAAAAGATATTCAGCTTCTGAAGAACAGGATTGGCAAAGATTGAAAAAATGTAAGATATATAACAATAAATGAGAAGGAGTTGTTCTTGGTCCTTTCAATGTAATCACCTATTAATCCAACATACATCACCCAACACATCACCCATGTGCAGCCTCACTCTTTCCCTGTCTGTCTGCTTCAACCTAAAATTTCGTAAGCATTGAATGATGAGAAGGGGATTTTTCTGGAAAATAATAAATGGGTCAAATTTTTGTTCAAATTTTCACATATTCGCCACATGTTTTTTTTTCAAGTCGTAAAAGACGGCTACCTCAACTGCAAAAAATTAGGATTCAACAAATTTGGTCGGTTTCCAGTTTCCAACACTTATTATACAATAACGTTATCGAAATCGTTGACTTGCTCCCTGGAAATTAAATGCTTCTTTTTTCTTGTATACAATTCAACCAATCGCCAAGGATTAGCAAGCAGACTTGATTTTTCTTGTTCCTTGCATCATGAAATGTCCATTCATTTCCATGCTTAACTTCTTACATTATTAATGTTTTAATAATCAAATCAATCTGTTGAGGATTTTTATCAATGTTTTTGTAGTTGGTTCGATTACGTTATTTTTTAAAAATAATTACATGAATTAAATTGAATTAAATATTAAAATTTTCACTTAAAATTTCCTTTGCAAAAATGATAGCTATAATTAGGTATAAAAACTAGTGCTAATTTTTTGACGATAGCTTCAGGCATTTCCTGTAAGCAGCGGCCCCTGTTTTCATGGTGGATATTATAAATATAACAGGAGACAGAAATTGGTCTTTATTTTACAGACAAACAGGTAAGAAAGATTGTTCTATATATACTTCTACCATAGCACTTTATTAGTTCTTGTCGTTTTCTTGTTTTTAACCGTTCCCAACTAGAATTTTGTTAGCATTGTTATAGCCAGTGAAGTGCATCATCTGCTTTTGATACCTACTTTCCAGACATTTTAATTTTTCTTTAATTTTTACAGCAACCAAAAAAGATTTTATGTATATAATATAGTTGGGTATTAAACACATAGTGTAGCCTAATTTTCTCTCATAAAAATAAAATTTAATTGTAGTAACCAAATTAATCTTTAGGAGTATTCAATTAACTATTAGTTTAGTGTTATAAAATTGATTTCAAAGTTGAAAATCTCGAATTCGATTATAAAATATAATTCAAAAAGAAAACAAAACCTTATAGGTAACCAAAAATTTAAATGAAATTGACATTCAATAATGTGATATAATCATTTTGTATAATTTTTTTTCTTCTAATAAAATTATAAAGAGATTGTTTTTTAAACCTTTAGCTCTTTGACAAATGAGATTGGAATTAAGGGCTACGAACATAAAAACTAGCTAGTACTAGTGATCAGCAAGAAATTGGGGTGGAATGAGGCAATAATACATGGAGTATCTAAACACAATGCATGAGAAAATATTTAGGGTAAGTTTATCAATTAACTAAAAAGGGCCGAAAAGCAGGAGGCAGGTAGTTGCAAATGCGGTAAAAAAGTAGCTGCCTGCATGAGCTAGACACAAAGTTTTAACAGCAGAGAGCAAAACTACCACTCTTTTCCTTCCTAATTAAGAGCCTAAACTTGGGAATCTTTGAATCTAGATGATTTCAACACAGTCTAATAGTAATAGAAGAGCTAAAACACAGCGGGGAGGGAAAGCACACGTGGTTTCAATTAGAGATGAAAAAAAAAATGAAGAAATTCGAAAATCAATTTAAAATTATAGTATTTGATTTAATTTTTTTAATTTGATTTAAATCAAATTTAAATATTAAATATATATTAAATTCAATTTGAATTTTGGATTAGAAGATAAAAAATTTTAAAAAAATTGAATTGAATCAATTATATATATATTTTAATATATATATATTTTAAATTTTTATAAAATAAAAAAATAATTTTATGCTAAAATATATTTAATTATATTAAAATTTTATATTAAAATAACATAAAAAAATAAAAAAATTAATAATTTAAATTAAATTAAATTTATAAAATTTAATTTGATTCTATTTAAATTGAATTGAATTAAATTAAATTTAAATTTAAATTTATAATATTATATAATATTTAAAAAAATTAAATTGAATCAAATTCTTATCAAAACGTAATCATTTAGCATTTCTAATTTTAATGGAAAAGCTCACTCGGTTCCACAGGAAGAAAACCGATCACACCTGGCGGTTTGAAGGGTCCCCACGCAGCTCAGTCAGTGTCAGTTCGCTAGTTGGTGTGACGTCCCTTGAGGCAACACTTATTTATTATTATTTTTTTTTGAGTGTTTTAAGGGGCAGAGCCCTACGTAAAGGGAGAGAGGTTGAGGCAACACTTATACTTTCTCATTCAAGCCTCTTCTATATATACCTCACCTCACCCTCTCACTCCTCGCTTCCTCATTCACTACTTCCCTTTGCTTGTGTCTCTTTATCTCTTGCACCCACACATAAAAGGTTTATCTTTATATATATGCTTCGTTTCTTAGTGTCTAAGCTAGCTTAGACCCTAGAGGGTCAACAATACTGAGTAAATAAAAGAAAAAAGGGGAAATACTCTTAATTTTATCGGGGAAATGGCATTTTTTGGTCTAATTTTAATGGGATTTCTTCCTTTGTTTCCACATGCTTATGGCTATGGTGGGGGGTGGATTGATGCTCATGCCACTTTTTATGGTGGGGAATATGCCTCTGGTACAATCGGTATGTAACAAATTCCCTTTTTCTTCTAGTTAATTTTTTTCACGATGCTTTAAAAAATTCTAAAACCAATTGTTTTGACCATTTTGAAGGTGGGGCTTGTGGATATGGGAACCTATACAGCCAGGGGTATGGGACTACTACAGCAGCTTTGAGCACAGCACTGTTTAATAACGGCTTGAGCTGTGGGGCTTGTTTCGAGATTAAGTGCGTGAATGACCCTAGGTGGTGCCTCCCTGGATCTATTGTGGTCACTGCCACCAACTTCTGCCCACCAAACAATGCTGGGGGCTGGTGCAACCCTCCTCAGCATCATTTTGATCTATCTCAGCCTGTTTTCCAGCAAATTGCCCAATACAGAGCTGGGATTGTTCCTGTAGCTTATAGAAGGTATGACAGTCCCTTTTTATAGTTTGTGTTTTATATTTATCAACTTGGATTGATAAGAGTTGGAATTGTGTGAAATTTATAGGGTAGCATGCAGAAAGAGAGGAGGCATCAGATTCACAATCAACGGTCATGCATACTTCAACCTAGTACTAATCACCAACGTGGGAGGTGCTGGCGATGTTCATTCAGTTTCCATCAAAGGGTCAAGAACAGGTTGGCAACCCATGTCAAGGAACTGGGGTCAAAACTGGCAAAGCAACTCTTACCTCAATGGACAAAGCCTATCTTTTAAGGTCACCACCAGTGATGGACGCACTCTGGTCTCTAACAATGTTGTTCCTCCTAATTGGTCCTTTGGCCAGTCCTTCACCGGCTTCCAATTCCCATAAAATTACCATTTTTTTTCTTCTTTCTCGCTCTCCATTTTCAAATCTCACATTCAGAGGATAGACCAACGGCAATTCTAGTGTTTTTAGAGTAGCGAAAATGATGACAAGGGTTTTGGTTTTAATGACCCTTGTCATTGAAGTTTGATTTCTGTTCTGTTCTGCTCTCTTTTGACAATGGCAGAGACAAAGAAATTGGCAGTGGTGGGCATTTACCGTCTGCCTGGCTTAATTTTGCTTTTTATGTGAAGCAACTGTGATCAGCTAATAGTACTACTATTATTCTCTGCTGAATAAATTGTGTAGCAGTTTTGTATTGATAAAGACAACAAGGCTCCATCTTAAGCATGCATTTAATTGTGTAGGCCCACGTTTTCATTCAACATTAAGAAAATCATACTATAAGAAAATCAGTATTCTATTAACAATAGGCATAGCTGGATGAGAAAATCACCATCATTCGACATGCACCTTCTCTAGCCACCCAATTCTTAGCTTAATAGTAAATTCATGTATCATTTATTCAAAAAGTTATGTTGAAATCAACTGAGCTTATTATTGACGTGAAGAGTTTAAACTTTAACCATAGATAACCTTTTAACCATACGATAAAACTGACTCATTCAGTGATATTTAATATCCAAAAATGCCAAGTCGAAATATCACAAGTATCATCTTAAAATCAAAATCGTTGTTAGAAAATTTTAAACATTATTTTATATATTTTAATATAATATTGTTTTATTTTTTAAAAACTATTTTTATAATGATAATTCTAATAAAAATCATCAATCAATATTCAATACTATCTATAAACTATAAATAAAAAGTATCCCTAAAAATTTTAGGGAATGACACTTGTCCTTTATAGTAAAATAACCATGTCATGATGATTTTTCATCTGGGAGACTAGTTAGCTAGATTTAATGAGAATTTTTGAAGTCTTCATTAATTTTTTTTATTTATGTATGGTGTGATTGATCATTCAAAAATATCATCTTTTAATAAAAATATTAAAATTAATTAAGATTTATTAAAATATGTTTAGATCTGTGAAATTAGGGTTGGATCTGAAAATATAGTTACGAGTGAGAAGATATTAGCACCCTCACATTATTCATTCAAAAAATGGTATCAATTAAACATGTGTAATCTTTGACAATATGGTATTTTTTTATATTTAAATTTAATTTCCTAAAACTTATTTATGACAAAAAAACATTTTTTATTAGTATTATTATTCTTTTTGCATTTTATAAATTCTCCAATGCTTTGACAAAATTTATAGAAAATCTTTATTTAGAAAAAGTTCTGTCTATTTATTAAAATTGGTTTTAGGATTATCTTGACTCTTTGACAAAATCTTAAAATTTATTAAACAGATTTTAAGATTATCCAACTCATTGACGACATCTTAAAAATTTTTAAACTAATTTTAGGATCATCTAAATTTTCTAATGAGATCGTAAAAATCATTTTTTATTGATGATAATTAAGAAAAATGAGATTTTCTTAATTTTTCTTAAAATTTTTACTTAAGAGATTTAATTAAACATTCAATTAATTTTTATTATGGTTGTTTTTTTTTTGTTATTATTTACTATTTATTATTGTCATTTTTTATTATTTAAATAAATCTTTATTTAGAAAAAATAACTTTATTTTATTATTTTTGGATTAGCTAACTCTTTGGTCAAATCTAAAAACATATTTTTGGTAATAATTAAAAGATTTATTTAAAGAAACACTTTTATTATTTATTATTTATTATTATTTAAATAAATATTTATTTAGTGAAAATATTTTTTTTTGATTATCTCAACTCTTTGGTAAAATCCAAACAAAATTTTTTTAAAACAAACCTTTTTATTTTTATTATATTTTTTTATTGAAACACAATTTTATTTTAAAATGAATTTTAAATTGTCCTGACTCATTAGCAAAATCTAAAAATAAAATATTTTTACTTACATTAAAAAAATTGAACTTTTTCAATTTTCTTTTAAAATTGCATTTTAAAAATATTTATTCAAATAACTAATTATTATTTTTATTATTTTTTTATTTTTATTATGTAACAAAAATAATTTCTTAAATTATCCTAACACTTTAGTGAAATTTAAGAAATATTTTGCTTGTAAATTTAAAAGAAAAAAGACTCAATTTTTTTTATAATTATACTTTAAGATTTTATTCAATTTTATTTTAATAAACCTACCATTTATTTTAATTTTATATTTTTATCATGGTTTATTTATTTCTCAAAAAAATAATATCATAAAATAAATAAAATGAAAATGAAAATAAAATTAAAAACAAAAAAGAAAAGGAAAACTCACCAACAAGTCGGGTCTCGAGGTGGTCTACCTGCAGATCCTGGTGCAAGTCGAGTTAGATCCAGATGCCAAAATAACATCGTTTTGATAGGCCTATAAAAAGGCCCTTTTATATATTTTTTAATTTTTCCTTTCCTTTCTCCTTCTCTTTAAACCCCAACGCTTATCTCTTTAAACCTAATCCTCTCTTTGTCGATTTCAGTGGTAACCCAGATTTCGATCGATTGTCATTGTGCATCGGTGGCCGAAATCTTTAATCGATCTAAAATTTTAAAAAAATTTTAAATAACATATTGATTTCCAAATTTTGATGATTGAAAAATTCAACTTGCCACCTGAAACTTCATATTTCCTAGATTTCAACAACAAAAAAAATTCAAAAAAATTCCTAAGATGATCTTAGAAGCTTCTAAACACTTCTCTCCACCTAGATTTCTTAAAAAAAAAAAATCCTAAGTCTACTAGATCAAGATTTATAGTTTCTTTTTTTTTTTTGGCTACCGGTTCCTCTATTCAAAGAGGATGTGATTTTTTTTTTTTGTTTTAGTGCTTGTGTGTGTATATGTTTTCCTTTTTTTCTTTGGTAGAACCTAGTAACTTAACCCCCTTTTCATGTTTTTTTTTTTGTAGTGTTCTCCTCTTAGGTTTTCTGTTGTTTTTTCATTTCCTTATTTACTTGGCTTTTATAAAACCAATTTAGCTTTCAAATCCTAGATAATCTAGGATTCAAGAAGACTTTTATGACCCTTTAATTCGTGCTGCAAAATTAGGTTTGTGGTAGAGAAAAAAAAATCATTCTGGCAAAACCAAATTGACTTTTTTTTATTTTATTATGATTATTATTATCTTTTTTTGTTTTGGACAAAATAAGTATCCACAACTGCTCTTCTTTACACACTGCTGATAATCAGGAATAGGGCAAAGATAAAAAGATGACTATTTTGTCTGGATGATATTATAAATATGAACACATTTTTCTCTTTTTTTTTTGAAACAAATTTGAAAGGCTCATTTTAGCAAAGTTTGACAACTTTTGAAAATTTAGAAGCTCTTCTAAGCAGAGGCTTGATAACTTTTGAAAATTTAAAAAGGTTCCTTTGATCAGAGGCTATGAAACTTTAAAATTTAAAAGGCTCCCCTGGTCAGAAGCTATAAAACTTTAAATGGCTCATCTGACCAGAGACACTAAAACTTTAAAGTTTAAAAGGCTCTTCTGACTAGAGGTAATGAAAGTTTAGAATTTAAAAGACTCATCTGACCAAAAACTATGAAACTTTAAATTTAAAAGGCTTCTATAACTAGAGGCAATAAAACTTCAAATGGCTCTTCTAACTAGAGGTAATGAAACTTTAAATTAAAAATCTGAGAGGACTTATATATTATACTTTTTGGTCTTAAAAATCATGCTTAATTTTGAAAGAATCCTCTAACAAGAGGCTCTTAAAATTAAAAGCTCCTCTGACCATAGGTTATGAAATTTTGAAAATAGCTTATCTAATAAGAGGCAATGACACTTTAAATAAAACTCATCTAGCCAGAGGCAATGAAATTTTAAATAGCTCTTTTTGAAGAATCTTGACTATGGGGTTACATTTGGCTGTAAGTTGGGAAATGAAATGAGCAATATAATTCAACCTCCCTAGAAATCCTTTTATCTTTTTTTATGTGCGCAAAGATGGTAGCTTTTGGATGACACGTATCTTATCTGGATCCACCTCAATTCCTCTTTCATTGATAATAAATCCAAGTAATTTTCTTAAGGTCACGTCAAAAGTACATTTAGTCGGATTGAGCTTAAGCTAAAACTTTTTTAATTTGTTAAATAACTTTATGAGATTAGTCACATGATTTTTTTTTCACAACATTTGATAATCATGTCATCCATGTACACCTCAATTTCTTTATGCATCATATCATGTAATAGAGTTACCCTGACTTTTTGATGAGTTGCCCCAACATTTTTCAAACCAAAAAGCATAACTTTATAATAGAATATTCCCTATAATGTCACAAAAGTAATCTTTTCCATATCTTTTTATGCCATCTTGATTTGATTGTAGCCTGAAAACCTATTCATAAATGAAAATAGAGAGTACCTAGTGGTATTATCCACTAAGGTGTCAATGTAGAGCAATGAAAAATCAGCTTTAGGAGTTGCTCTATTCAAATCCCAATAATCAACACACATTCTCAGTTTGCCATATTTTTTGGGTACTAGAACTATATTTGCCACCCATTCGGAATATTTGGCCACTTCTAAGAATTTTACATCAAATTACTTTTTTATTTTTATTTTTATTTTTATTTTCAACAACATTTCGAGCTTCATCCTCTTAAACTACTGTTTAATTGGTTTGCACTTAGGTTTCAGAGACAGCTTATGTACTATAATTTTAATATCTAGGCCTAGCATATCTTAGTATAACCAAGCAAATACATCCACATATTCATATAGCAACTTTATCAACTTTAGCTTTATTGGTGATGACATTGAGGTACCAATTTTAACCTCCTTTTTAGTTTCTTTGTCTCTCAAATTTACAACTTCAGTGGCTTATTAGCGAGACATGATTTGCTTCTTTTATTATTCCATTAATCTTTATTATTTTAGGGATATTGCATGGTCTTTCATATTCTCTTCATTATCAAGTTCACTAATATAAACATAATTTTCAAAATCAAATTTCAGAATATTATCATGATGATTTTCGCATTCATTATTTGAGTATCTGAAAATGAGTGAAATAGACAAAATATAAAGGGATGTATAATAATG